TAAATTAGGCACGTCGATATTGCAAATGAAGCCAGAATTTGAATTTCCCGCACTTCATTTGCATAAGGGCAGCTGCCACTTTTTTCAAAATGGGGCTTTTTCTAAAAAAAAACCAAAATGGAGTTTAGATGGGGCGTTTTCGACAGAAATATCTCATTTTGAAAGATCCTGTACTCCTCTCACAACCCCCCACAGCTGCCCATGATGCCCCCTCCCTTCAGACTTCAGCATCCCACCCAGCTTCCCCCAGCTATCCCCAGACCAGTATCTCCTCTGCTGTGCCCCTCTGCTCCCTGCCGGCTGGCCTGGGTAAAAATCAAGTGTTCACTGAAAATGTGATATTGCTCCAGAGCAGAACTCTCCTTGTTAGATATATGGAAAATTAAAGGATATTGCCTGTGATTCTTCTGCTATCGTTGTTACTGGACACACACATGGCTAATGATGGGGCCAAAAAAACACTCATACTTTATAGGTCAAGAGGAGGGATATGCAACTTGTTTAAACAAAGGTCATGGCTACTCAGAGGAAATAAAACTCTAGAAAACATGTTAACTTTAATATCTGTTGCCACATGTATACATTTTCCCAGTGTAGGCACAGCCAAGCAAACTCTAAGAAGAAAGTTGTTCGACCCTGCCAGTTGTTAAATTAAATCCAAGTCATCATACCCCCCCCTCAAAAAAGGGGGGGATTTGAATACTCACTGTTCCCACCAAAGGAAAAACAGTGGAACAAGAGCACAAGGTCAGGATGCGAATGTTTCAGTAGTGACTTCAGTAAGGGTTTGATCCAAGAACAGAATGCATATGCCAGGTGCTGAAGGAAAGTCTGTTTGTGTCTAACATATTGGATTTTTTCCCCCCAACAATTCATCCTTGAATAAATGTTACCCTTCTTGTGCCAAGGCCAGTGATATTGTGGGTTAACAACCCAAGGATATAAATAACTGGCTTTTTAAGCATCATCTTCTAACTCTTGTTAGATCTCACACACCCCTAATTAAGTCAAAGATAACTTCACACCCATGCTGATTAGTATCTGTGACATACATAGTGTTGCAAGAATTGTGATGTGTATCATAAATTAATGTACACACTGTAAATTATTTTACAGAATTGTACATTACTATTGCCACATTTGTCTGTATAATTTACTATACAAATGTCTGTTTTGGCCTGTATTTTTAAATGAACTAGGCAACTACTTCTAAATACAGTTAAAAAACATAAAAGTTGAAATTAGGAGCCCAGTGCTACTCTTCTGATATCTATAGGAAGGCTTAAATGGAAGCAAGCTTGGAATGTAAATCTGAGCATTACACAGTAGAATGATAAAATCTAAAAGTTATTTTGACTATTTCCATAGAGATGTGTTTGGTTTTAGAACTAAATATAAAACTTAGTTATTTTTTTCTATTGTAAGAAAGAAATATGAAAATGTAACTAGTAGGATGGTAGCTAATTCATAGCCTGTCATAAATTATGCTTAAATCTTTGACATACATAGACAAAAACAACTGCTAAAAATACATATCTATACATTACATGGAAAAGTACAAATTATGTAGAGTATCCTTAATCTACATAATACAAAACTATTCACATGCTGTAAATCTTGGTTATCTTTTGTTTGCTTATATAATGCTTTGCAGTATATTTTTGGCAAGGTAGGGTTTTCTTGCATACTTGTGCATCAGTTGTCATTCCTCATGCTACTGGGATGTTTGGTCTTAAATTATGGCATTTTAATTGAAGAAAATGTGTGGGTAACATTCCCTCTTTCAAAAAAAAGTGTGTTTATTTTCCCTTATATCAAATAGATTTTAAAAATTAGATTGTCTATTGGCTACATTTACTGATTCCTATATTGATTGTTTCCAAAAATACAAGAAAGGATTGAAATTACATTGTGAGCATATAATTTTCCTTTCACTAGTCACTTTTACCTTCAGAAATCAAAGAGAGAGGAATGCATGTTTCTGCTCAGTCAGTATTCTCCCTTAGAGAGAAGGTCTAGTACTTCATGCTAGAGGCATCCTTTGTTCCCTTTACTTGGGGTACCAACACAATTGAGCACCAGAGAAATCCTCTATCATTTCTATTAATTTCATGGTGTATAGCTCTTCAGCTAGATAAAAGATGTTCAGAATTGCTTGATCAAGAAAAGTAGTCAAACTTAAAATGGTCCTAATTATCAACGTGTATATTCTGCTTCTGTGGCAAGCAAACCCATCAAAGAAGGCTGAGGGTGTTTAATCCAAAGCTGCAAAAGAGGAACTAAGGCATGATCTAAAATCCATGTAATGCAATAGGCATCTTTCCACTGACTTCCTTGGGCTTTTGGGTCAGGTTCTGAGTTCTATGTTTAAAATTCAGTACATGGGCTGTAAGACTTAACCCATCTTTCATTGTTTCATAGTGGTAGAAACCACATAGTATGATTTTTTTTTAATGTAAGCTATCAGAAACCCTCACAAAGAAACCTTACAGTGCCTAAATGATCCACTCTTTATATAAATGTAAGGTAAATCAGAGCATAGCCTCTGCTTGCAGTGGCTTATGGTTAGGCCTTTCCATGCAGTCATATCACATTAAAGTGATGTGGAGTTCATTGAGTTGACTAGAGGAAATCATCACCCAGTTGTGCCCACCTTTTCTTTATGCCAAACAATCATCACCACTTTGATATTGGCAATTTGAAATTACCAAGTCACCACTAAAGACATTTGTATTTAATGGAAGAATTATTCTTCACAATGAAGCTAAGCTGAAAAAATGTTTCTTAGCTGGTGCTGGCAGTGGAATACTTCATTTTCGTTTATAAATGGAATAGTGTGATTAGCTACTCATACTTCAGTCCCCACTGCCTCCCTCTGCTGCTACACTTTATAAGAAGATTATAATTCTCAGTATGAAGTGAAAATTACCTGGGGGGGGGCACATTTAATTATTACTCTGCTTCCTCCTGTCTCCATGGTGATCCTATCCAACAGCCTGTTTCCCTTCTGTTGTATTGGACCTCTTTCTCCCCCTCCAGCAATAAATCAGCTCTGCATAAGCTTGAATCACAGTATTAATCAGTGGCCTAGAGAGAGGAGTGCTTCACTTAGTACTGTAGCTGCTCAGTCCAGCCACTCTGCTTTCCTCATTCCAGGAGCCTTTCACTAGATACATGAACTTCAGTCAGGCCTGGATTTCTGCCATGCTTAACCTAGGGCTTCATCCCGCAAGGGGAGGGGACTGGTTAGAGGTGACAGGGGGAGTGTGCCCAGTCCCCTGGCCTAAAGCAACTGCCTAAGCCTGCCCCCTGCCGTGATGCATACATGGGTCGTTCTTGTGCTGAGCAATGCCTGCTAGCCAGGTAGCTCTAGAACTGCGAGCCCGGAGGTGTACCCCTCCCCTGCACAGTCCCAGAGAGGGATGTGGAGAGGAGGGGGAGCAAGGCTCTGATCTCAGCCCCGCTCCTGCCTCCTCGCTGAGTTTGCAGACTGAGGCGGTCTGGCCAAGCCCCAGCGAGACTCTGAGGCAATCCTGTGTCAGGGCTCCCTGCGGGGAATATGCCGCTGATTTCCTGCCGTGCCTCGGCGGGCAAGTTTGCACCAAGAGGGCAGAGGGATGCCCCCGCTGGTCTCTTCCTGCTCCCCTACCCCGAGCTCTGCTCTCACCTGGGTTCTCCCCGGCTTCAGGGGCAGCGCAGTCGGTGAGGATGCTGGGGTCACTCTGGGACCTGCCTCTGGGGAGAAAAAAGCCAGC